CAAGACAGAAGAAGAACGGTTGCAGGAACTGGGTATGTCTAGCTTAATGAAAAGAAGGACTAGGGGAGACATGATAGCAGTCTTCCAATATCTCAGGGGCTGCCACAAAGAAGAGGGAGTCAATCTATTCTCCAAAGCACCTGAAGGCAGGAAAAGAAGCAATAGGTGGAAACTAATCAAGGAGAGAAGCAACTTAGAACTAAGGAGAAATTTCCTGACTGTTAGAACAGTTAATCAGTGGAACAACTTGCCTCCAGAAGTTGTGAATGCTCCAACACTGGGAGTTTTTAAGAAGATGTTGGATAACCATTTGTCTGAAGTTATGTAGGGTTTCCTGCCTGGGCACAGGGTTGGACTAGAAGACCTCCAAGGTCCCTTCCAACTTTGTTATTCTATATAAAATCCCCACATCTGCAAAACTCCTGCACTGATGATGCCACCTTGAAGGTTAATGAAACATTAATATTGAAAAGGCACCTTTGGGACATTAATGAAAGATCTGCAATCCTCAGATCAAGCTTGGAGAACTCAACAACAACTCAACAAACAATTACATCAAGTCAATTCTGTACCACACATTCAACTACCATGATACTCGTGAATTCGAGTCAGATTTCTTTAAACAGTAATGTTGTCCCTGTATATTTTAAATGTTTTAATTGGTTTGTATTTTTAATTTTGGGCCAAATTTATATATATTTTAATTGTTTTTTAATATTTGTATTTCATGTTTTTTAATTCTGGCTGTACACCGCCCTGAGTCCTCAGGGAGAAGGGCGGTATATAAATGTAAAAATAAATAAATAAATAAATAAATAAATAAATAAATAAATAAATAAATATATTTAAAATATATCCTGCTGAAGGAAATGTCTTCTATGATAGAGCTAATGTTAAATCACAACATATCCCACCCCCCCAGGCAACAATCCATATTGCCTAATTCAATGGTTTCACATTTTGATGGTGTGAGATGGCACGAAACCCAAATAAAAGTCATTCATTAGAAACTGTTCTACTTTATGAACTGGAAAAGGTCAAAGATATGCAACACTGAATCTTCATTACAGACTGATTGCTTATTTCAGGCACACTTTCACATTAGAGCGGGGGGGGGAATGTATTTTTTTTTTAAAAAAACTTGTTTTATGATGGAGGTGTTGACTGGAAGGTGGTCTCAGGCTAACAGAGCTGTGCTTTGAAAGGTACTGTGAATGATGAACTGTGTTCCACTGAAATGACATTATTAGCTTTGGCAAGAAGCTAATTCAGCTATCTCCCAGTTTTGCCAACCATAAAGAAAATCTTTGAAAAAAGATGTGTCCAAACTGCAGAATAATAAAGCACCTAGCCCACAGTTCACTGGCAGGCAACAATCGTTGTTATGGAAAGGTGTGCATATAGTGGGAAGAGATAATCGGGAACGATGCCAAGCAGCTATTTCAGCAGACGTCTCTGTACCCTTGGCTGCTGATTTGGCGCTCTCAGTTTTCTGCCAGGCTACCACGTTCAACACGAGCAGCTGGATCAGGGTTGCAAAGACACAGGGTTGAAAGAGCCTTGGTGGCGCAGCAGACTAAAGTGCTGTTAAATAGCACCAGCTGCCTGCAATTACTGCAAGTTCAAATCTCACCAGGTTCAAAGTTGACTCAGCCTTCCATCCTTTCGAGGTAGGTAAAATGAGGACCCGGATTGTGGGGGCAATAAGCTGACTTTGTATAAAAAAGAACACCACTTAGGGGGAGGGGGTAAAAGCCCTACTAAGCAGGTATATACAAAAGTATGGAGGCTATTGCTTAACGCATTGTAAGCCGCCCTGACTCTCCGGAGAAGGGCGGCATATAAATCGAACCAATAAATAAATAAATACATAAATACATAAATACATATGAAGGAAACTCTAGTCCAAGGCTGTCAAACTCATGGCCCGTGGGCCAGATGCGTCGTGCACTGACCACGCCCATGCCCGGTGTAGCGAAGGGGACACTGCCGTGACAATGTCAGTTTGACAACACTGCTCTAGGCCATTATTAACATGTACACTTATAGCTTATTTTACTGACACACTTTACAAAGCAAAAGAAACCATTGAAGTCCAGACAAGTGAGTTAAAGGTACCCCATGAGTTAATTTGTCTTTAGTAAGAATATACTCAAAATGATATTTAGTTATTTAATTATTTAACAATACCTATCGCCCAATCCACTCCAAATGGACTCCAGATGGGATCTACCCAAGTCCAAAGATGTGCACTAAAAGGCAGGGGTGAAATCCAGCAGGTTCTGACAAGTTCTGGAGAACCGGTAGCAAAAATTTTGAGTAGTTTGGACAACCGGTAGGGGAAATTTTGAGTATTTCGGAGCAAATACCACCTCTGGCTGGCCCCAGAATGGGGTGGGAATGGAGATTTTGCAATATCCTTTCCCTGCCATACCTACCAAGCCATCCCACCAAGCCACACCACACCACGCCCACCAAGCCATGCCCACAGAACCGGTAGTAAAAAAAAAAAAAATTGGATTTCACCACTGCTAAAAGGTATATGGATAACTAAAGTCAACAACAAGCAAAGAAACCCAAAAGCATCAAAGGCACAATTTAATTAACTCTAAAGGGCTAAATCTCCAATGCTTCAACTTGTCAGAAAGCATATACAATACAAACTATCCATACTACTAAGCTATCTTCTCCTTTGTTTTGTTTTATCACAGTCTTTTATGTTTTGTCCACCCAAACAGGTAAACTAGATTAAGAAACAGACTGTGTAGACCTAAAGCTACTTTTGTTCGAATGGTTATAATCAGAGGTGGTATTCAGCCGGTTCATACCGGTTCAAGCAAACCGGTAGTGGAAATAGCAGGTGGGCCCGCCTGCCCACCCACCCAGGCTCTATGCCGTCCTATTTAGGCACATTTTCGAGGCCAGGCGCATGCGTGGAAGGCATGCGAGCGAGCAAAGCAAATGCATGGAAGGAACGCACATGCATGGAAGGCACATGCGCGAAGCAAGCGTGTGAGTGTGGGGCAAACCAGTGGTAGGAATATTGGAAACCCACAGCTGGTTATAGTAACATAATTTTGCAAGTATGAATGAGCTTCCTTACTCTGCTGTTTAATCTTCCTGTGAATTAGGAGGAGGGGAGCCGAGACATTTTCCTAAGGCATTTTCTTGGCCTGGATTCAATATTCATTTATCTGATTGTTGCTTTGGTAATGTACATTTCCACTTTAGCTAAATTTCAGGATCAAAAACAGTCTTGGAGTCACAAGGCAGAAAAGTAAAATAGACAGCCAAGCTCTTGTTTCTACTTTATAGGCAAACAAACCAATGCAAGTTTAATAAATATTTGTACCTCATTTGGTCTTGTGCAGGGTTTTGTGTTTAGCCAAGACTGATTATAAAAGGGCATTTATTTCTTGCTATACTACACAAAATAATATAGCATTTTTATTTTATTTTATTTTTATTTATTTAAACACCCTCTTACTCAGGAGTGAAATCCAGCAGGTTCTGACAGGTTCTCGAGAACCAGTAGTGGAAATTTTGAGTAGTTCAGAGAACCGGTAGTGGATATTTTGAGTAGTTCAGAGAACTGGCAAATATTACCTCAGGCTGGTCCCAGAGTGGGGTGGGAATAGAGATTTTGCAATATCCTTCCCCCAGGAGTGGGGAGGGAATGGGGATTTTGCAGTATCTTTCCCCCTGGAATGGGGTGGGAATGGAGATTTTGCAGTATCCTTCCCCTGCCACGCCCACTCAGGGGTGAAATCCAACAGGTTCTGACAGGTTCTCGAGAACCAGTAGCGGAAATTTTGAGTAGTTTGGAGAACCGGTAGCGAAAATTTTGAGTAGTTCAGAGAACCGGTAGTGGATATTTTGAGTAGTTTGTAGAACTGGTAGCGGAAATTTTGAGTAGTTCAGAGAACTGGCAAATATTACCTCAGGCTGGTCCCAGAGTGGGGTGGGAATAGAGATTTTGCAATATCATTCCCCCAGGAGTGGGGCGGGAATGGAGATTTTGCAGTATCCTTCCCCTGCCACGCCCACTCAGGGGTGAAATCCAACAGGTTCTGACAGGTTCTCGAGAACCAGTAACGGAAATTTTGAGTAGTTTGGAGAACCGGTAGCGAAAATTTTGAGTAGTTCAGAGAACCGGTAGTGGATATTTTGAGTAGTTCGTAGAACTGGTAGCGGAAATTTTGAGTAGTTCAGAGAACCGTAGTGGATATTTTGAGTAGTTCGTAGAACTGGTAGCGGAAATTTTGAGTAGTTCAGAGAACTGGCAAATATTACATCAGGCTGGTCCCAGAGTGGGGTGGGAATGGAGATTTTGCAATATCCTTCCCCTGCCACGCCCACTCAGGGGTGAAATCCAACAGGTTCTGACAGGTTCTCGAGAACCAGTAGCGGAAATTTTGAGTAGTTTGGAGAACCGGTAGTGAAAATTTTGAGTAGTTCAGAGAACTAGCAAATACGACCTCTGGCTGGTCCCAGACTGGGGTGGGAATGGAGATTTTGCAATATCCCCCCCCAGGAGTGGGGAGGGAATGGGGATTTTGCAGTATCTTTCCCCCTGGAATGGGGTGGGAATGGAGATTTTGCAGTATCCTTCCCCTGCCACGCCCACCAAACCATGTCCACCAAGCCACACCACACCCACCAAGCCACACCCACATAACTGGTAGTAAAACAAATTGGATTTCACCACTGGTCTTACTTGAAAAAAAATAAGATAGCATTCCTGTGAAACCAGAGGTTTTATTATGAAGCCAATTACGGGGTTTAAAATGCAAGTTACCAAGATAATTTTAGAATGGTGACAAATGATGAACTGGTGCATCTGGTTTAATAATTCATTCTCCAAGAGCTGTAGTAAATTTTTAGCAATCTGCTTGACAAAGAAAATAGGCACCTGACAAAGAATATAAAATATATAATAGTATTTGGAGCATGGGGTCAGTTGTAACACAAGACGTGTTATGTTCTCCCTGTTTTCTTACCTGATTAGAAATGAGCCTTGCAAGAACATCCATCCTAGATCCTGACTCTGAGATCATTTTAGCTGCATTAATCACATCTGATGTATTCTTCAGTGGTCCTCTGCCCCTTTAATTAGAACAATATATATATGATGAATATTAAACATCTGGTACAATCTTAGAATAAATATGAGCATACAATTTCTTTTGGTCTTCTAAGAATGTCTCTGTTGCATTGGAAAAGAAGAGATGTCTCTGCAACCATGCGATCACATTTTATCTATTGCATGTGTGATGACTCTGATTCTCAAGGTGGCCTACAATCAGAGGTGGATTTCAGCAGGTTCTGACAAGTTCTGGAGAACCGGCAGTGGAAATTTTGAGTAGTTCAGAGAAACGGTAGTAAAAATTCAGACTGGCCCAGCCCCCATCTATTCTCTGCCTCTCAAATCCCAGCTGATCAGGAGGAAATGGAGATTTTACAGTATCCTTCCCCTGGAGTGGGGAGGGATTGGAGATTTTACAGTATCCTTCTCCTACCACGCCCACCAAGCCACACCCACCAAGCCATGCCACGCCCACCAAGCCACACCCACAGAACCAGTAGTAAAAAAATTTGAAACCCACCACTGCCTACAATCCACTATAAAAATATTTTAAATCAACTTCTAAAAGGTAAATTAGCAACAACACCCAAGAAATGTGCATGCTGTCTGGATGAACAGGAAATGAAGAGAATTATTATAGCTACACACACACACATATAATGAAAACAAATAATCAAGATAGCTGCACAATCTTCTCGGAGCAATAGCAATTGAAAGAAATTTGGCAACCTTTCAACAAAATTTGCTGAGCTGCTAGTAAAGGAGACAAGCAGCTTCCTCATCAAATCTTGCATGACTCTTAAGACCAAACGAGGTGTCATAAATTCAACACGCCTCACCATTTAAAGACACCTTACCTTTAGGAGAAACCCTTCCATACTTCCACCTCTTTCAATACTAGACAACACAGTATCAACAGTAGAGATCTTCAATTTTCTAGGTTCTACCATATCGCAAGATCTAAAATGGACAGCTAACATCAAAAACGCCATCAAGAAAGCACAACAAAGAATGTTTTTCTGTACCAACTCAGAAAGCTCAAACTGCCCAAGGAGCTGCTGATCCAGTTCTACAGAGGAATTATTGAGTCTGTCATCTGCACCTCTATAACTGTCTGGTTTGGCTCTGTAACCCAAGAAGACAGACAGAGACTTCAGAGGATAATTAGAACTGCAGAAAAAAACAGTTACTATCAATTTGCCTTCCATTGAGGACCTGTATACTGCACGAGTCAAAAAGAGGGCTGTGAAAATACTTACAGACCCCTCGCATCCTGGACATAAACTGTTTCAACTTCTACCCTCAAAACTATGCTATAGAGCACTGCACACCAGAACAACTAGACACAAGAACAGTTTTTTCCCAAATGCCATCACTCTGCTAAATAAATAATTCCCTCAACACTGTCAAACTATTCACTAAATCTGCACTATTATTAATCTTCTCATCGTTCCCACTACCCATCTCCTTCCACTTATGACTGTATGACTGTAACTTTGTTGCTCGTACCCTTACGATTTATATTGATATTGTTTCCTGATTGCTTATTTGTGCCCTATGACTATTGTACCTTATGATTCTTGATGAACGTATCTTTTATGTACACTGAGAGCGTATGCACCAAGACAAATTCCTTGTGTGTCCAATCACACTTGGCCAATAAAAAATTCTATTCTATTCTATCTATTCTATTCTTTGAAAAGGGCATTGAAAGAACATTTGAACAGTTCTATTTTCTTTAAGGAGCAAAACCAAAGACATTCTTGAATGGGAATGGGAATCAAATATTGATGTTGAAAAGGAGGCAAAACATTAAATCTGCTTCGGATGTCAAGGGATGTTGGCTTAGTAACTTGCATGAGAGAATGGGCTTCCAAACAGATACCCGATGTACCAAATAAGGTGGTTATTTTTTGGAGGCAGGGAGGTGGGTTTACAAGTCCTGCTCAATATCTGCATTGAGGATTATTGTGAAAATGTTAAAACCACCCTGTCTTCCGATTTAAAATGGAAGTTTTACAAAATGATGTACCATTGATGTATGATGCTAGAGAAATTATCTAAGAAGAATAACTTCAAATCTCTGCTGGAAATGTGAAATAGAGAGATTTAAAAAATTTAAAAATGAATCAGATGCAACTGGACTTTTGTTACATGCATCAAGCATGCAATGTGGTGGTGGAAGAAATGCCCATCTGGGTTCAGTTCCAAGTGGGTAGAAAGACACTGGAGGCTGTTTGGAAAGATGGTTTAATGGTGGACAGGACCACATGAGTTTTTTGGGTCCTGGGCAAATGAGCACATGGGAGAAAGAGAAAGAGAGGTTTATACCCTCTCTTGGGATTTGAATTTGAACTTCCTGTTCCTGTGGCAAGGGCATGTATTCTGATTGGTTGTCAAACTCCCAGGGGGCTATGCGGGGGTAACTTTGTAGGCTGTCTTGAGCCCCTTGGTTGAACGTTGCTGGGTGATGCAATCTTCCCAGGTGCCTTGTGGTGAGATGGGTACAGGGCTAATCCTATTATGTCCTGAGGGTGAAGGTCTTTTGTTTTGCAGATAAGCTGGCCCAGCCTTTTGTCTTGTAGATAAGTTGGCACCAAAATATCTGCTGGCGGGGAGGGTGGGGGGCAGGGAGCTGCGGCTTTGAGTTTATGTCCTAACATGTTTCTCCTCTAGGGAAAATATAATATTCCTCCTTTTTATTATTTCCTAGAATATTTCATTCTTCTAGGAGATGGGTGGGTGTTAACTTTCTACAGTGTGAAATAGGCTAGGACTTATGGACAGTCAACTAGAAAAAGCCTGTGGATTATTGGTTTTATATATGATAACTGCAGCAAGGTTATTATAAGCACAAAGATGGGAGAATACAGAAATACCTATCATGGAGGAAGGGATTGTGAAGATGGCAGACCTTGCAGAATTGGCTAAACTGACTTATTTGATGGACAGAACAACAAATACTTTTAAAACAGAGTGGAAACCCTTATGGACTTTTTGCTGAAAGTGGATAAAATGAACTTATGCTTTCAGGGTTTATTAGTTAAAAATATTTATGGGTAGAAGCAGGGTGAAATCCAGCAGTTTCTGGCAGATTCTGGAGAACGGGTAGCAGAAATTTTGAGTAGTTTGGAGAACTGGCAAATACCACTTCTGGCTGGTCCCAGAGTGGGGTGGGAATGGAGATTTTGCAGTATCCTTCCCTTGGAGTGAGGTAGAAATGGAGATTTTGCAGTATCCTTCCCCTGCCACACCCACCAAGCCACATCCACCAAGCCACACCCACAGAACCGGTAGTAAAAAAATTCAAATTTCATCACCGGGTGGAAGAGAACTAAATATACCATATTTTTCAGAGTATAAGATGCACCGGAGTATAAGACACACCTACCTTTTTTGGTTGTTTTTTTTTAAACGGTTTTTTTAATTTTTTAGACAAACACACATACAAACATACAATGTATTTTCTTTGAATAGAGTATTTGGCTGGTTCACAAATTTAAACAGTGTTTAGTCATTTCAATTAAATTTACAATTTCTATATTTCCTTTTTGCCATATTTATTCCTCATCTATTTTTTTTTTAAAAAAACAATATTACCCTTCATTCTCATCTCTAATCTTAATCAAATTCAATTTTTCCCTTCTATTCTATATTATACTCTTTTCCATTGTCATCTATTTTTATATCCATCTTCACATTGGTTGATTATTTAAGATTACAATTGTTTAATACAAATTCAACATTTTAATATAAATCAATTAGTTATATAACTATCTTTTTTGTATATTAATCAATATGAACATGAATATTCCAATTATTTCCTTGCAATCCAATTTCTTACAAATCAATTAATTATATTTACCAATAATAATAAACCAAATAATTTCCCCCATATATTCCTCCAAACCACAACTTAACCATTTCTGCTTTCAACACAATATACAATTATTAGTATCTCAATTATTACAATTTCCTAGTTAAATAGAGCTTTTTTTCTTTTGTGTTTTAAAATCTTGAACTCTCCTCTTTTGCCCTAAATTTCCCATTGTTTGCACCTACCCTTTTTGGTGAGCAAAAAGAAAAATAAATCTCTCCCTGCCTCATGTTGCAGCAAAGAGCCTGCTTTATTTTCAGTTTTGTTTTTTCAGCATAGCTAGGGAAAAAAAATTCTGCTCCAGCACTCTTTGCAGCAAGCAGGAGAGCCCCGTCCAAAACAGCTGAGAGCAAATTAGCTGAGAGTCGGGAGGCTGATCTAATCAACTTGTGCTAATTAACCTATACTGAAGCTGGAAGGGGCTGTTTTTTCTTGCTGTTTGCTTGCAAGAAGGTAACTGCTGCGAGGCACAGGCCAAAGGGTGAAGACCAGTGGGTGGGCAGGGCTACATTCGGTGTATAAGATGCACCTAAATTTTCACCCCCTTTTGAGGGGTAAAAAGGTGTGTCTTATACTCTGAAAAATACGGTACATAATTTGGGAGGGAGGAAATGTTAATTTCTGTGTTTGCACTGCAGCAAAGAAGATAAGAAGTCACTTCTTTAAACATTTATTTTTGTTTCTCTTTTTGTTATCTTTCAGTTTTTCTTTTGTTTTTTCATATTTCTTTATTTTTTTTTCTACTGTTACTTTGGAAATAGAAAGTTATGTAAAGTTTTCTTTTAATAAAAAATATACCTTTAAAAAAATTATATTGAGGGTGCATAGTCTTACATCCCGGCAAATTCCTTTTTGGGCCAAGGGAAAACAGAAAGAACAATGATTTCTAAAAGATACTCTGATTTGCCTATTAAGATCATTTGTCTCCAACCTTTGTGCCAGTGATACCATTGATCCTTGCTTATGTCCAGAACTGATTAACTCCAAATTGAAAAGAAAAAAAGAAAGAAAGAAAGAAAATGTGGGGTGTTGCCCCCTCACATGTCTTTTTTTCCCTAAAAAAATATTTTTAGTAAATGACTGGTCCCCAAAGCACACTGAATTAAGGTTTGGTTTTAGCCGTTCTTATCATTCCTTTGGAGG